CATGTCAGGAGGGAACAATCGCTGGAGAAGGATGTCTTGCTGGGTAAGATGGAGGGTCAGAGAAAGAGAGGAAGACCCCCAACGAGATGGATCAGCTAGGTGGCATCATTGATGGCGTTAAGTGTGGCAGCGGTAGTGAGGTTGGCCCAGGATCGGACATTGTTTCGTTCTGCTGTGCATGGGGTCGCTATGAGTCGGTTCCGATTCGATGGCACCTGACAAAGAAAAAAATAAATCTGGCTTCTCCCACAGCCCCTGCAGGAGATCTGTCACAGATCCTCCTAGCCACAGCACTGTCCAGTGTTAGCCCCGCTCTGTGTCTCTCAGAGTCCTGCCCCACAGCTCAATATACCCAAAGAACCGCTCTCCAACTACACCTGCATTCCTGACCCACAAGTGTCACAACTCTCCCTTCACACCTCCCAGTCCTACCTCAGAGCCCTACCTTGCATCCTTTACAGCCCCGCCTCTCAGTACATCGAGGCTCCTCCTCCCCAAGGCTACCTACCAATTGGATCAGAGGGCTTCCCTGCTCCTCCCACTGTCGCGCCTTTCACCAAAGTCACAGCTCCTCCTTCCCTCAGCCTAGCACCACTCCAACTCAGAGCACCACTGGGCTCCTCCTGCAACCCCACCCCTCACATCCATCACAATTCCTCCCCCCCTGGAGCCCATCCCCACTTAAGAGCCCGCTCTAGTCCTCCTGCAGCCATGCCCCTCAGAATGTCAAACTCCTCCTCCTCCTCACAGACACGCCCCTCATCTACAGCACATCTCCTCCTCTTCAAAGTCAGGGACCACATCAGAGGCCAGCCCTGCTCCTCCCACAGTCCTTCCTTTCAGTCTAGCCACAGCTTCTCCTCCGCACATGCCTGCACCATGTCTTGAGTACTCAGGACGGCCTGAAACCTCATTCTGCAGCAACTCTGCCCCATAGCCCCGCCGCTCGCATTCAGCAGCACAGAACTGAATCTCCGCTGTCTCACGACCTGCCCTTCTCCTCTCCCAACTCCAAATGTGTCGTTCACAAACACGATCCCAGCTCTGCCCCGCGCCTCCTCTGCCTGTTGCACCTGGATCCTTCAGAAGCCACAGTCACAGCCAGGCCCTACTAGTCCTTCAGACAAGTTCTCCCACGTCTACAAGCCAGCTAACCATCGCCGGCAGCCTGGCTGCTCTTCCCCCAAGCCACGCCCCAGTCACTTGCCAAGCCCCTTTTCAACTCAGTCCCCAAAGGCTTTGCCCCGCCCCACCGCCCCATCTCATCCTCTGCTGAGGGTCAACATCTCCTCTTTGTCAGGGGAAGCCGCCCCCCCCCCCCCCCCCCCCCCCCACTGCTCCCAAAGACCCGCCCC